AAAAACCATACCTAATTTTGACCTAAAATAATACCGGATGGTTATTCCTCTGAGAACTTTAAGAAATCGAATCATTTAAAATCATCTACGATTTACTGCTTTCTGTTTGTTTACGTGAAGAGGAACTAGCAGCTTTTGATGAGAGATTTCCTTTGAGTAAGAAATAGTTGAATTCCGGCTTTGGCAAAGAAGACTTAATTTTGTAAAGCTGGTCATTTAGACCAGCTTGCAATAGCTGAGGAGAAAGCAGGTCCGGCCTTTCAAGAACTTTCACTGCTGAGTTCGCTGCAAGATTAATCTGTAGGGAAACAAGGGAAAAACATAAGTATAAATGAAGTGGTATGTTTGCCATGTTTGTTACACATTATATTCAAATATTCAAAACTCTCTACGATTTTATTGCCAACGCAGCACAGCCAGAGATAGTTCATACAACACTTGACAGTTGAATTTGTATAATACTTTACTGAAACAGTTAGTCTTTCAAGTATCCAACTAAATAGAATTTTTACTATGAAGATGAAAAAGTTTGCGACATATACATATAGCACATACATACATACATATAGTTAACATGTTGTGTATCTACATCCTACTGTTTCCTACTCCAACTGGATAACCGTATGTGCATAAAACATGGGAAAGGAGGCATATGCAAGTATAGTGTGTTACTTAGTTTAAAATTTAGATCACATCTGGTTTAGAATTTATGTGTTGATAACCACTGTCTGATAAATCCAGGAGGGGTAGGTGTAATGAGGGTCAAAAAATAATATTTGAATATCACATATTTGCTATAATTCATGTCTATCTATCACAGCTAAGCCTACAACCAAACTAATTCTCCTTTGTATTCTATCTCACAAAGCCATATTGATTTCCCCAACACAAATTTTAGGGTGAATCGGCTAATGCATGATGATGGAAGACACTAAATTAACGGCTCTTTTCCCCTCCTTGGCTCACAAATTTCCTGTATCAGCTAAGTCCACAGCAGATATGCTGGCAGAGGGAAGAGACTCTGGGTTGCCCTTGATTTCTAGCTACAAAGTGAGTATTTCTTTCAATCATTGTAAAACATTTCTTACAGTGAGGGGTTTAAAAC